TAGCTTTTTCCTTCGTTATTCTTTTTTTGGTTGCCATTTTTTTCCACCTTCCCTTCTTTACCGTATTTTGTTTTTCTCGATTTTTGGTTTTCGATTTTAAGATTTTTTTTGAAAAAAAGTTTATCGAAATCTATTAACGCGGGATTTAGTTTCGAAGATCTTGATGTGAGAAATCCAACGGCGAAAACTATTTAGGATTTGGACGCATGGTTTCAGAGATAAAACATTTTGAATAAAAGAATCTATGAAAAAGAAAAGAACTCCACTACAAATCCACGACACTGATAACGCCCACACATATGATGGGAGCGACATCCGCCCACACGCCTTATAACACACAAACTGCATCACGTTCCCGCATGCATGCATGTGAGAATTTTTTTACTTTCAGTTTTTAAAATGTTTTATCTCTTAAGTGAATAATCCGATTGAAGATCATTTTTCACCATTAAATTCACCGCGACGAGATCTTCGAAACTAGATCTCATATCAATATGTTTTGATGTTTTTTTTGGATTAAAAATTGCCATGTCTATTGCACATGAATTGTCATGATGTTTACACTGAAGTTGCCATGATATATTTCAGTTATTTTCTTCTACATTTAAAAATAATATTTTACATATTATAAAACAGAGAATTAAGAAACTAGATTTGTCATGAACCATAAACTAAAATTGTCATGATACACACACTTAAAATTGTCATGGTTCATACAAAAAATAATTTTCATGGTCAAAATACTGGAATTGTCATGGTCAAAATACTAAAATTTCCATGTTCTATAAACTAAAATTGCCACATGGCAACTTTAGTGTAAACACTATGGCAACTCCGGTGTAAACATCATGGCAACTTTTGAGCAAATTATTTTTTCGTCGAAACATATCAACATGGAATCTAGTTTTGAAGATCTCGTCGAGATGAATTTAATGGTGAAAATGGATTTTTTAATTAGATTTTTAATTAGAAGATAAAACAGTTTTAAGCCGAAAACAAAAAATATTCCCGCTGATGTCATCTGTTTTGACGTGGTAAAATAAATGATAATGAAGGCGTTTGGGCCATGTTGTTTGGTGCCACACGTGTGGGCGTTAACATTTGCGCAAATCTAATGTCAAATTTTTAACCATGGCAAATCAAACGTATTTACCACAAATTATGTTCTCCGAGTATGACAAATTTAGTTGAAGAGCAAGGTAAATCTGTCTCAAATTATCTTTTATTAGAAAATTGCCATGCTTGTCAATATAATTTTCCATCATCTTTTCAATATAAATTTCCATAAAAACAAATGTGCCATGCCTAAACATCCGACGTCAGATTTTTTAAGGCAAGTGTCAGATTTTTAGTTTCTTTTAAGAAAACATCAGAATTTTGGTTTTTCCATTTTTTGAGTAACGTCAGATTTTTAATTTTTCTAAAAAGAAAACACACAGATTTCGACAAAATAGCGCACATGCCCAGGCCCAAGCCCATATGGCCGTATCAAGGCTTGGATCTCACTCTCCAGATTATTCGGCTCACGAAACCAGAACCATTTCCTCTGTAACACCAGTACATCACCGGCTTAAGAGCATCTCCAACAGCCGCGTCAAAAAACGCGTGCGCGCGATAAATTGGTTTTATAGCGCACGTGGGACGTTTATGCGCGCTCCAGCGGTGGCGTGAAACTAGCGCGCGCAGAAAACGATTGCGCGTGCGGGAAAAGGCGGCCCCTCGTGCGCTACATTTGGCGCGCCGCGTCCGGCGCTCCTATAAATTGCAGCGCCTCCGCCGCTCTCTCCATCGCCCTTTGCCGCTGTCTCCGTCTCTCCATAGCCCCCTGTCGCGCTCTGCCGCCGACACGCCACCACTGCGCCACGATGCCGCCTCGGCGCCGGGAAGGTACGGGCTACCGCGGCGTTCGCATGCGTCCGTCCGGCACCTACTCCGCCGAGATTCGGTCGGGCGGCGGCATGCGGCTCCGTCTCGGAACTTTCGACACCGCCCAGGAGGGCGCCCGCGCGTACGACGCTGCGGCGTGGCGCCTCCTGCGGTCCCGTCAGGACATGAACTTCGCCGACGTGGCGACGCGGAAGCGCGCACAGGAGTTGGCGCCTTTCCCGCGGCTTCTCACTGACGAGAATCATCGCAAGCATCGGAAGCGGGAGCATCGTCTCAGGCTGGCCGAGATGGACGAGCAAGCCATGGTGCTGTGGAGTCATCGCTTTCCGGAAGACACCAATAAGAAACAGTTCTTCGTCCAGAGGAGAGCGAAGAGGAGAGAGAAGCGAGCCGACTATCGCGAGGACAAGCGAACGCGGAAGGCGGTCGCTAAATACAACCAAGCGCTAGGAGATACGTCCTTCTGGAACTCCGACGACGAGCGGTTCCTTAACGCCTACGCTCTGACGTCGGAGGAGGACATCACTGAGACAGAGTCCGAGTCGGACGAGTAGTAGTAGGAGAATGATCTACGAAATCAAATATGTAATATGAGAACTATCTACGAAACCAAATATGTAGTAAAAAAAACTGAAATATAGCGTACCTGCTAGAGCGGCGTGGACACGCTTTAATTTGCGACGGCCGCTGCTGGAGCCAGCGCACTGCGCGCAAAAGCTGGCTAACCGGGCGCTGTATCACGACTTTTAGCGCCCGGCGCATTGCGAGACTAAACCCTTATCTCCTCTCGTCTCTCTCTCTTCCGTCTCGTCCTCATCCCCTATCCATCTCCTAGGGTTTTTACCCCCATGGCGATGGCATCGCGCGCCGTCCTCCTCTCCCGTCTATCGCCGCTCCCCGCTGCGACCTCTCGCTTCCTCCTCCGCCCTCTCGCCGCCGCCGCCAGCCTCCTCCCGGCGGCGACCTCGCCCGTCCAGGCGGCGGCGCGCGGGGCGGTGCGGTGCTTCGCCACACAGCCGGCGACGTCGTCGCTGCGGGACTCCTCGCCCAACTGGAGCAACCGGCCGCCCAAGGAGACTATCCTCCTCGATGGTTGCGACTTCGAACACTGGCTGGTAGTCATTGAGCCGCCCGCGGGCGACGCTGCTAATCCTGATATCACACGCGACGAGATCATCGATAGCTACATCAAGACCCTCGCCCAGGTCGTCGGAAGGTATTGCTGTAACCATTTCTCGCATCTTCATCTTGTTGTGTTAGACGGTTGATGGAGCTTTATTGATGGGATGCGCGCTCTTGTTTTGTAGATTTCCTGCATTTTATGTCTCACTAATGTTTAGTTCAGGGGAAAATTTTAAAATCAGTAATACGACACTAACGGTTTTTGCTTGGTTGAATCAAATTTGATTACATTGTTAGTTTGTTATGTCTGGTGTGAGCTAAGAATCACAGACACAGTGATGCCCATACGGGGACACAGGATTCGGCATTCCAAAAACAACTATTTGGGAATACTGCCAGTAATATATAAAAAATTAAAACATGACATGTAGTATAGAGTTAAAATAAATAATTAATGAGAAAACGAGATGAGATATTAGTGAACTAGCAGGATCTTAACATCAGGTTGTCCTTCAGTCTCACCCATGGATGATTGGCTACCAGCGGTGGCACTCCCAGATGCCATGCCCCCTAACAGCAGGCAACAATCAACACCCAAAAGCAGCACCAGCATTCAATCAGAGTACAGCATCATGCAGCTAATAAAAAACGCAAGCAGGCAAGCAGCGATGGCATGACCACACAGGGAAGCAAGCAGCAGCAGCTCAACAGCAAGAGTCACAAAGAGATGAAGAGGTTGAGGAGAGGCTGCTGGGCCTGGGGAGTCAGGGTTACCTGCTTGAGCGTGATTGTCATTGGGAAGAGAGGCTGCTGCACTTGGCAAACAGCGTCGGCCGAGTCCAGGTGGCAGCGGCCGGCGGCGCTGTGTTCGCTAGAGCCAGGAGGAGCTCGTTCCTTTTTGTGGAGAGCATATGTGGGAGCCTGACAAATAGGATTTGTATTCGGGCCGAGGCTGTTATTGGGCCTCCCGTGTCCCCAGCATATGCACGTACCCCAACCAATGTCCTTGGTTTTTTTAATTCATAAATGAGGGGGTACTGCTGATCCCGGCTTATCCCGCCATGTCACTGTGTCCCGCCGTAGTAGGACGGCCAATCGGCTGAATCTACCGTATCCATGCTTTTTCTTATGTAAATGTAGAGTGCTTTGTTTCTGTGTCTATTGTCTGCTGGGCAGGCACTTCCTATTATGGCAAAAGTAATGTTGGGAGCATGGTCTGTTACTGCCCTTATTGCTCTAGTGTGATGTGTTATTTGGGATCTTTCAAGGCGTTGGTAATCTTGTCTTATTTGATGAAGACATGAATCTGTCGATCTACATAGTCACGTAGTGCAACACCCATGCTTTGTTATTTGGCTTGATTTTGGTTATATTTCGAAATACGGGTCGTGTTACCTTTATCTAAAATTTATTTCAGTTTTCATGTTAGCCTTATGCACATTTTGGTTTCCGGGTATGTAATGTTGGTTGCCCCCCATTTTTCTTATCATTCTAATCTATGTACTGTGGCACATATTAACTTCTTTTAATGTTCCAGTGAGCAAGAAGCTAGGCAGAAGATATACTCGGTGTCAACGCGTCATTATTTTGCTTTTGGTGCCCTTGTATCTGAAGAACTCTCATATAAACTTAAAGGTATTAATGCTTTATGAAGTGATCTTGAGGACGTTCCAGTGCATAATGCACTCAATTAGAAACATTCTTTCTTGAATCTTACACCTCTATCATTCACAGAGCTGCCCAAAGTCCGCTGGGTTCTCCCTGATTCATACCTTGATGTCAGAAATAAGGACTATGGAGGTAATTATATAAGATCATGCTGACCTTCTGATTACTATTGTGTGGTTTGTTGCCTTCTCTTCTGAGCTCAGTATAGTTAGCATGGTACTTCAAAATTAAGCAGTCTACTTGAACTTAACACTGGTCATTGATCCGAATGATCAAAACAAGATTTAGGGTTAGATATCAGATCTGGAGCTGATGTTAACAGACTGTATGTTGGTTATAAGATGGATTACCGTAATCTGAACTTTGCTGTGTCATGAGATGTACTTTTACAGTTACATGACCATCCTTTATCTGCTTTTATTTATGATGTCTGTATGTGTTTATTAGGGATATGAATACAATTGTTCTTAGGGGGGGGGGGGGTAAAATAGGGTTGATATTTTCGCACTTCAATATGTATGTTTTCTTCATGGATTCGGACAAATTAGGAGCTGTCCTTTCTAATCTGATAGCCTTGACATAGCACTAGCAGATGTCAGTTTCTTGCATATGGGTTAGTAGTAGTTGCTAAGCAACACCAGATAATGTTTGGGGATGAACCTGTTCATTTTTCAGGTACACTTGTGTGAGAACCAACTTTAATGTGGTGAGCTTGGGCTTACTTATCATGGCTGAAAGCACATGACAGGAATTGGTGAAACTAATCTACAAACACTTGATACTTTACACCTTCTGTTTCAGGGGAACCTTTTATAGGTGGGGAAGCTGTTCCTTATGATCCTAAATATCACGAGGAATGGGTGAGGAACAATGCCCGTGCCAATGAAAGATCTCGGCGCAGCGATAGGCCCCGCAACTTTGATAGGTCAAGGAACTTTGAGAGGAGAACGGAGAACATGCAGAACTTCCAAAACAGAGATGCACCTCCTGGGCAGCAGGGTTTCAACGGCCCTCCACCTAGCCAGAACCCGGGCAGCATGCCTCCACCTCCACCACCTAGTCAGAACCGTGGCAACGTGCCTCCACCATATACTCCAGGTGGTCCATCAAATTACCAGCCCCAAATGCAGAACCCACAGGCAGCATACACACCGGGTGGTGCACCCCAAATGCCGAACCCACAGACAGGGTACGCACCGGGCGGTGCACCCCAAATGCCAAACCCACAGACAGGGTACGCACCGGGCAGGCCCCCCCACATGCCGAACCAACAGGCGGGCTATGTCCCCAGTGGTGCTTCTAACTATCAGCAAGGTGGTCAAGCTGGCTACCAAGGTGGACCTGCTGGGCATCAGGGAGGTAACCAAGTTTACCCAAGAGGCAACTTGCCTGGCGGCCCTGGACCAGCACACCCAGGCAGCAGTCCTGGATATCAAGGTGCCAATGCACCCCTCGTGAAGGTTATGGCTATCCTGGCGGCTACAACAGCAGTGCACCAGGTGGCTATAATCAGCAGTAAGGCTAAGGATGAGGCAACGTGAGCTACCAATGAGGTGCCACTGAGTCGCAAATGAACTGATTTTCCTGGGAAGCGTTGCCAGCATAATTCCGTAGAAGATACGATGTGCAGTAGTATACATCCAACTATTGTTATGGCATATTTTTTATCGATTCTCCCTGAAGTAACCTGAATATTCTGTGATGCTGAACTTTTAATGTGCAACAATGGTTCAGTTGTCCACATCTCAGCGTGCACATTCTGCAATTAGCTGTCTGTTTAATTGGTCCTTTGAGCTGTGCTATCTGTTTCCTCTGGTCATAATGTATTCCTAGACTTCTATGCTGCTGTTGTACGCAGGCAGTTAGTAATTTTTTATGCTTAATGACAAGATGGTTAAGGAGTACTTGAAGTTAAACTTTTGAAGTTTGATCATTTATATAGAAACATATATCAATATTTTCAACATCAGTTATACACACTGAAAAAATAGCGCCGCTAATAGCACGCTATAGTGTGTTGAGATTTGTCTCGCTAAATAAATCAATATACAATGCTATTTTAATAACATTGTTAATAGCATATTTTCAGGGCGGCGCTATTTTTTGTAGCGCCTTGTTTTTTTCCCTTGGTTATATATGGTATGAAATATTTTTTTTGCTTAGTCTAATGAAACTAATTTGGTCTTGTAGGTGTTAGATATATTTTTCATTAAACTTGATGAAACTTAAAATGTTTGACTTAGGACAAATCTCAAATGTCAACTATTTTGGAACGGAAGGAGTAGTGATTTACTTAAGTATTAAAAACTAAAGTTTTGGTGACCCCTGAAAAGGGACGGTAGAATTACAATATTTTGGAACAGAGAGAGTAGTGACTTGAGTGTAAAAATGGTTTCGGCGACCCCTCAAAAAGGATGGTAGAATTACAGTATTTTGGAACAGAGAGTAGTGATTTACTTGAGTGTTAAAAAGGTTTTGGTGACCCCTAAAAGGGATGGTAGAATTACACAGATGGTAAGACTAAGATAGATCACACTGAATGAAATACCTCCCCCCTCCCCCCCTCCTCCTCCCTGACTGTGGTTGGATGGTTAGAGGGACTGTGGTATCCCAGCCCATGAGGGTTCAAATCCTGGTGCTTGTATTTATTCTTGGATTTATTTCAGAATTTTCGGCGATGCGCATTCAGTGGGAGGAGACGTTCCCGTCGACGACGAAGGTGCATACGGTGACTTCGTAAATTTCAAGATGATATGCCGGCTCAATCTTTCGGAGGTGCTCATAGGGATAGGGTGTGCGTGTGTGCGTTCATAGGGGCGAGTGTATGCGCGTGTATATG